GGGCTCCAAAACCACTGCAGATGGTGACTGCAGCCATGAAATTAAAAGACGCTTACTCCTTGGAAGGAAAGTTAGACAGCATATTAAAAAGCAGAGACATTACTTTGTCAACAAATGTCCATCTAGTCAAGGCTATGGTTTTTCTAGTAGTCATATTGGATGTGAGAGTTGGACAGTGAAGAAAGCTGAGCGCTGAAGAATTGATGCTTTTGTACTGTGGTATTGGAGAAGACTCTTGAGAGTCCGTTGGACTGCAAGGAGATCCAACCAGTCCATCCTAAAGGAGATCAGTCCTGGGTGTGCACTGGAAGGACTGATGTTGAAGCTGAAACTCCAGTACTTTGGCCACCTCATGCAAAGAGCTGACTCATTTAAAAAGACCCTGATGCTGGGAGGGATTGGGGGCAGAAGGGGACGACAGAGGATGAGATGGTTGGATGGCATCACCGACTCAATGGACATGGGTTTGGGTAGACTCTGGCAGTTGGTGATGGACAGGGAAGCCTTGCGCGCTGCGGTTCATGGGGTCGCAAAGAGTCGGACACAACTGAGCGACTGAACTGAATTGAACTTGCCTTTATTCCCCAACCTCTACTTTTGAGTAGGGAATGCCTGCCTGTTAGCATCAAACAGAGCACTGGAAGTCCAGACCTACGTTCCAGAATTCACTATCCAAAGACTCTGTGTCAACCTGTGAGTGTGAGTTGGGGTTAATTCGATACAAATGAACAGAAATTAAGTATCCTACTTAAACATTTCATGAATTCTGTAACAAAGTCCTTGATTTCCTTCATTTCAAAGTCAGTCTTCTTCCCACAGAGTCACTGCAGAATTCGGATTAGTTTAACCAGCCACTCTCTAGTCCTGTGCCAGAAAGAATATGCACCACTAAAGTTCATCATACAGTGATGCCGACTTGGAGTCATCATAAATGTTTCACTTTCATCCTCCGCTGGGACATCATAAACTGTACCTAGTTTTATTTACTCCTAGTCTCGTTCACTCCTGACAACACGGAGCGTTATCACTCTCCTAAAATCCTTTCCACTTCCTTCTAGTCACTGTTAGTACATAGCACAGCTCCCCACTTCACCCAAAAGACAGACATTACCAGCACAAATACCCCAACTTCTTTTTCATCTCCTACACAAATGTCTGCCTTTACTAATTTTTATCATCTTCCCTCCTGTCTAGGAGAAACAGGTGTCCCTGTACCTTTTCCAGGCAAACCCATCCCTCCTGACAGTTTCCTTCTCAAACTCTGCCGACATCTGTTCTCATATGTTTAATCAATCTCCTACTTTCCTTATCTCAGCTTATAAACATGCTCTGGTTTTTCATTTGTATGTGCTCCACCTCCAATCGAAAAGGAACAAAACTGTTCTGGAAGCACAATCTGTATGTACACACCCTACTTCTTTATTTTCCAATCATTCCTCAATGCAGTCAGGCCTCCTCTATCCTCACCCTTCTGCTAAAATGCTCTTACTGGGGTGTTAACTAATGATCACCAACTTGCCAATGTTAGTGGTCTCTCTTTAGTCCTGATTCTCATGACATGTAATACCACAAAGCTTCCTGTGACACCACAAAGCTTCCTGTGACACCACAAAGCTTCCTGAATAGCTTTCTCTTGGTTCTCCCCTGACTTGTCAAGTTCATCCTTCTCTCATTTCTCTTGGGTCACCCACTCTTGTGTTTCCCAACATTCTATCCTAGATCCTCTTGATTCCATACTTAATACCATCTCACCTACAAACATAGTTTCACCTCTATCCTAGCATCCCTCTAGAGCAGGGGTCCCCAACCTCCAGGCCTCCAGACCGGTACCCCCTGTCAGATCAGCAGAGTCATTAGACTAGAAACAACATGCACAATAAGTGTAATGTGCTTGAATCATCCTGAAACCATCCCCCCCCCACGGAAAAACTGTCTTCCATGAAACTGGTCTCTGGTGCCAAAATGGTCGGGGACCGCTGCTCTAGAGCATCTAGTTCTTACTAAAAGGCCACCTCCTGTCTACTTCTACAGACCTAGCAGATTCAACATGTTCCAAAGAGTTCATAATCTCTCTCTAGTTTCCTAGCCTGCTCTCTTACCTACCTGTATTTCCCTTCTCTGAAACTCCACCATTGCTTCACCCCATCCAAAAATATAATTTTATTAATTTTCCTCAGTAACCACTTTAATGGCTCCCGAATTTAGATCAATTATCTTAAGCCTCAGACAAAAAATAAAGTTGTATTTATTAAAAATAAGTTTTAAGATTATCATTATTACCAACTCAATAAGAAGATAATGGTGAGTCAAAGGCTTCAAATTACCCAGCGGGAGGCAGGCCATTGGCCCACCAGCAACCCTGTCCTCAACAGAGCACTGCACAATCACAAGGACACAGCAAATAAAAAAGAAATGGCAACTGCTGGTTTTGGCCAAAGATAATAACTTCTAAACTACCAACTCACACACACACAGGTTCAGGCAATGCAATAGATAAGGGAGGCTGACAAGATCAAGCCAAAGCCATTTTCAAAAAGTCATAATAAATAGATGTTGACCAAACAGAAAAGAATTATTAACAGTAGGAGGAAGCGGTATCTTTTGTTCCTTTAAGAAGTCTGTTTCAGAGGTGGGGAGTGTAAACATAGTTTAATCTCCATTTCCACTTTAAGGACCAGGCTTGCACCTATCCCACTGCATTGAACTCTATACTCCCAACATCACCATCAGATGTGATGTGACTTCTTCAAGACAAAAATCCTACTTTGTTCTTTTTTCTATTCCTGGCACTCAGTAGTTGGCTCTCAGTAAATGTTCACTGAGCTAAAACCAACTGACCAACAACCAGCCAACTCTGCAGCTATTTTAAATCCCAAGTAGCTTCCTTCTGCTCTGGGTATTTCCATTTGCTATCCAACATACATTACAAAGTGCCCACTCACGTCAGGCAGTGGGCATGGAGGGGCAGGCAGAGATAAACTGTGGTTCCCATTCTCAAGGGCCTCGGTGCTTAGAGGGAAGATGAATGCATGAACCAATTCCTGCAGAGCATCTTCAGGGTGATGACAGGTCTCTGTAGGTGCAGTCAGGGAGAAGGCAGTGATGGCTCAGAGTGGAAGAGCCAGAGAGAGTGAATTTGAACCCAGCCCGTCAGGCAAGGTGGCAGCGTGAGGAGTCTGCGAGCAGTTTTTGGTGTGGCCAGAGCCTAATGTACAAGGGATTGGGAGGCTGGGCTAGAGGCAAGCAGGGTCAGATACTGAGGTCCCTGGGTGCAGACCTGAATTTTAGAAAGGGCACTTTAGAGGCAGTGGTGGAAGGAGTAAGTTGGAAGTTAAGGCTTGCTACAGCAACTCAGGTTAGATGAACCTATCAACATGGAAGTGGTAGTGATACCTGGGATTGAGAACCCTGAAGTTAGAAAGATGTAAAGGTAAATT